CTTCTTTGTTGTTTAACCTGGTGTACTACTATACGAGGTCTTGTGGTACTGGCAACCCTGTAATAAACAGTCTCTGAGATGACAGTCATTTTGGCCCAGTCTTGCATGCTGTTGAACATCTGTAAAAGGCTAAGCACTGATATTAGGAGCTCACTCTAATGGGACTGGAAATGAGTATTAGGAGGAAAAAGTTCACTACAAACATTTCCAATGGTGAAGAAATGGCACTTAATAGCCAGTGACTCAAGATCATAAAACAGACCCCTGGTAGGTTCAGGAAGGGAATGCAGTTGTCTCACCTTTTCAAAGCCCTGAAGATGTATAGCACGAAGTTTGGAAGTCTATGTGACACTTACATATGGCACAATCGCCAGCAGCAGAGGTCCCCAAGGATTTCTTCTCACATAGCCCCTCTCTGCTTGCACCCATTCCATTACTATTTTATCCAAACTTAATTATGACAAAGTTTTTTTTTTTCTTTTTGGAGAAGAAAAAGCTTCAATTTCCTTCACATTTAAAATAATAAAAAATATGATGCCCACACACTTCTCAGAAAACAATAATGAGGATTTTAAGAAATACTGACATGTTCAGTTTCTTTTACCAGAATGAATGTTCCTGATGGCTCGCTTCATATATCTAACTGACTTTCCAAGCCAAGCTATGAAACAGGCTAAGAGCTGACCATATGTGCATTGCACTATCACGGGCATCCATAGTTTGGCTGCTTCTGACTACCAAGGTTTCATCTTGCATGTGAGATCAAATCTTTTCAGAGGCTAGCAGATCTGGTGGCCATTCAGTTGTACCACAAGGTAATAAATGATGCACATCAGAGAAAACACTCTTGCAGATTTCCACAGCAACCAAATTTGAATCTGGATCCATACTTTTTCCTTCAGTGCACTGGCTGTGAATCCAACAGTGCATGCGGGAAACTTAGGTAAGAAACATTTATGCTGCCTTTCAGTCTGGTTTGTTTCTTTTTACCTGGTTCTATTTTGCTCTCCAGTACTGTTTATACACTTGGAACTGCAGGCACTGCTACAGCAATTGATTAAACATTTGCTGCAGCTCAGCTGAGAGTATAAATCTAGTTGCCATAATTACACCTATGTTTATGTAGGAGTTTATAGAAATGTAACATTCTGTCTTTTAGAACTTGTATCTTAAATTTGATATTTTATCTTAAACAGATAAAAGATACATTGTTTTTTGTTAAAATACATAGTAAACTGCTAGCAATTTCATTGAGAGTACCTCAAAGATCAACAAAGTAAAATCCTGGGTTGCTTCCCTGTAACTTCTTAAATTTCGGATATGTCTATTCATAAAATTTCATCTAGAACTCCCCATGCCATCAGAGCATTTTATATATTAAACTAACAAAGTATTGCTTCAAATATCTGTAAGAGTTTGATATTAGCTGCACAGTCTCTAGTTGCTGCAGTACCTTACGAAACATGAGATGTATGACTGAAGCCAGCAAAAAAATGTAACTTCTTTCCAGACTGTGCTGGAAAAGAAGCAGTAGTTACAGTATTAATTTTCCACTATTGTATGAAAACTAGACATCTATTTTTGACAGTATGTCACAAAGGAAAATTGCACCAATTCATAAACACTAATAGCATCACAGGAAAATACTGGATTAAATTTTTTGTACATGTCAAATCTGTTACAACTTCAAATGTACGCACCTCACTTTTTCCTTTATTAAAAATGCGTTCGTCAAGCCTATAGATCTCATTTTCCTAGTATGTCCATTCATTTTTAAAGGCAATGGTTCTTCTGTGGTGGTACTACAGAGGAGAGTTGGTTTATCTTAAATAATGGAAGTATGTATCTTTTAAAGTTTAAAAAAAAAAGTGTTTATACCATTTTCAGGAACAGATTTCAGTTGGGTTTAGTAGTCTATAACACAAAACATGAAGTGATCAGAAGAGAATGCTTCCTCACAACTTAGTTTAATCCCTTAAGCTATGAAGTAGTATAAATTTCTGTCCTATGAGTAGACTTGTAAAATAAAATTGTAAAAATATTACTAGCTCAGCATTTCAGCTGTCACTGCAATGCCTTTTTCTCTATCTGAAACAACTCATTCTTTGTGGATATGCTTGTTGTCTTTTGTGCTAAAATGTAGTCTGGTATGAAAGTAATAATTGGTTCCACCAGAGCTCTAGCAAACTTCAAAATACAGATTCTCTTCAAAGAGGAAGCACAAAAGGAGCACAAGTCTTATGGGGAAGCAGCTGAGGGAACTGGGATTGTTCAGTCTGGAGAAGAGGAAGCTCAGGAAATCTACAGCTTCTGGCTCTCTACAGCTGCCTGAAAGGGGGATGTGGTGACATGGGGGTTGGCCTCTTCTCCCAGTTAACAGCAATATGATGAAAGATAATAACTGTGAGTTTTGCTACTGGAGGTTCAAGTTAGATATTAGGAAAGCTTTTGTTTCAGAAACAGTGGTGAGGCATAGGAACAGGCTGTCCAGGGAAGTGGTAGAGTCACCATTCTTGGAGGTGTTGAAGAAATGTGTAATGTGGCACTGAGGGACATGGTTTGTGAGCATGGTGGGGATGGGTTGACAATGAGAACAGACAATCTTAAAGACCTTTTCCAACCTTAATGATTTTATAATTCTGTGATGCAGGGTACAATCTAATTTTCCAAGTATGATATGGGTATAATTAATAACCTTAACTGTTATGATGACTGACTTGCTTCCTTCTTGCATCCCTGCTATGTATGTTACAAACAAGTGATAATCTAGAAACAAATACTGGATTCCTTAAATATAGAGCATGCCCTCTGCTTAAAAAAGATGCAAAGCAAATTTTGACCTGTTTCTATCTCTGCATGTCACAATTCTTGTTTTGATAGAAACTTCTTTAGTGACACTATATTTACCCTAGATGAGCTCATATATTTATTTCCCAAAGGAAAGAAAGAAGTACAAGGGCTGGCTTGTTTTGTCTGCAGATCTTGTGGGGAGAAAGAAAGTGCAGGGGGTGCTAGGCTTCTCCTGGATTAAAGCTGTAGGTGATGGGGACTGTTACAAAAGAAATGGAAACTTTCTTCAAGTGGTAGAAAATCTTAGAGCCTTGCTCCTCAGCTTTTTTGCTAATATTACTGATACTAAAAAATTTTAAAGTCTATTTTAAAATGAAGTGGACATTGAGCATTTACAAGTCAGCATAAACAAATATTGGTAGCTTTATTCTCCATATAATATTGCGCTGTTTTCTTCACAATATGGATAGTGGCCTTATCTGTGAAATAACTATTTACAAATGCAGATGAGCACTTAGCAGCATTGTTTCAGTACCTTATGTACTTGACTGTGTAAATTTCCAGTTGCCCAAAGGTATGAGTAATAAGCAGTGCTTGACAGGGAGTTTACAGGAAGAATAATGGGGGAAAAAAAGTTTAGACAATTGAATTTAAAAGTGGATTTTAACGACAAGCCTATTTGTCACCATCGCTATAGTGTTTGGGTTTTTTGTTGTTGTTGTTTGTTTGTTTTGGGGGGGGGGGGGGAGGGAGGGGAAATGTATGAAGGTCAACAGTATGGTGGGCTGCATCAGAGAGGAGTGGCCAGCAGGGCAAGGGGGGTGGTTGTCCCTCCCTATTCTGCCCTCATGAGGCCCCAACTGGAGTACTGTGATCAGCTCTGGGTCTCCCAGCATGAGGATGTAAGGCTTCTGGGGAGGGTCCAGAAGATAGCCACCCTTATGAAGACAGATGGGAGGAATTAGGGTTGTTCAGCCTGGGAAAGAGAAGGCTCAGGAAGACTGCATTGCCTTCCAGTATTTAAAGGGAGATCATAAGTAGGAGGAAAATCAACTTCTTATGCAGGTAGATAATAGTAGGAAAAGGGCAATTTTAAACTAAATGAAGGGAGATTTAGATTAGATGTTGGGGGAAAATTTTCACTGAGAGGGTGGTGAGGTGCTGGAACAGGAATGCAGAAGAGCACTGTTTTTTTTAAGAAGAGCCTCGACCAGACTTGATGGCCTTTTGAAAAACAGCATTTATTTCCAAATGCAGTCTCCCATGAAAGAAAGCATCTCCTTTTCCTAGAATCTGAGCTATCTATCATGCCCGACTGTGATGGATGCAAAACATAAGCGTGCCAAGACCCACGGTTCCAAATCCTACCACCGTTCCTATTTTCTCCATGCTCACACAGCGCGGGTGGCAGTTTGCGCTGAGGCACAGGCACGACATGCCACAGCCACGTTCCTCTGTCTGTTGCAGTCGCACAAAACGAGTGTCACGTTAACAGCCTGACAGCGAAGATGCGGCTTCAGCCCGAGACGCCTGCAACTGGGAGCTTCTTTTCACCAACCCACGCAGGCAGAGAGCTTCAGTTCGCACAGATTCGGGGCTGTCAAACTGCGGCATGGCGAGCTGTGATAAAAACACAGAGCTGGGAGAGAAGCCCCGGTGATCTCTCAGAGGGCCGGCCCGGCACCGTGCCCCACGTAACTGTCAGGACACATAACCTCAGGAGCCGATCCGCAGCCCCACCGCCTTCCCCTCCGCTCCAAGGCCGAGCCCCGCGGGCAGGACGGGGCCACCCCCGAGCGCGGGCAGCGGCCCAAGGCTCGGCACGTTCCATTCCCCTGGCAGCGCGGGGGGGTGCGCTCCGTAACCCCTGCACTCGTCGGAGAAAGGGACGCGAAGCGTCTCGTTGCGTCGCTGCTTGCTTGGGCGCAGCGAGCCGTGCGACGGTCGACCCCGCGGGGGCGGCAGACGGCGGTGGGGGACCGAAGGGAGAGGAGGAGGGGGAAAGCGGGGCGGAGTTAGTAGGTTCCGGAGGGGCCGGCGGGTGAGCCGCGCCAGCGTCGCGGCTGTCGGAAAAGAGCGGCGGCGTGAGCAGAGGGAGGCGCGAGCCCTGTGCCTCCGGCGCCGCAGTCCCGCCGCTGAGCGCAGCCCGGGGCCCGGCTCTCGCCGCGGCGCTCCGACGGGCGGCGAGGACGGGGGCAGGTGCAGCGCGGCCGTGCCGCCGCCCAACGCTCCGCGGCGATGCCGGCGGTGCAGAAAACGGTGTCGGAGATCCGCTCCCGCGCGGAGGGTAAGTGCCACCCGGCGCCCGCCTTCCGCCGGCCGCGGGGAGGGAGTGCACTCGGCTCGACGGGTTTGCGGCCGCCTGAAGGATTGGGCGGCGGAGGCGGGCGGCAGCAGCCGCTGCTACAACGGCGGCGTGCCCGTGGCCGCCCAGCTGTGGCGGTGGTCGCGGGCCGCGGCCGAGCAACGAGCGCTAGGGCGCGGTGCTGCCGCTGTGCTTTCCGGGCGGTGTCGCGTTGTGTGCCTGTCACTATCTGCCTCCGGCAGAGCTGCCTGCGCGACCGCGGGGAGCGCGGCGTGCTCCGTGCCTCGCTGCGCTGCCGGGCACCGCGCTTCTGTCGTGGGGTTCAGTGGGGACGCCTTCCTTATGGGCAGTATCTGTGTGTGCGCCGATTGTCGGAGATAACCGCTTCCAGTGCGAGTGTGAAATAACAGCGCCGAAGCAGCAGCGCGTTGGGGCAGCTGATGGTTTGCTGTGGCTGCGAGTAATGACAACAGAGTCACCGCAGTGATCCGTACCTCCTGAGGCAGGTGTGCTGCCCTCAGTCCTGGGGCTGTGTTCGAGTCAATTGAAGATAAATCAGGCCACTGCACCTGGTGCAGGCCGTGAGGGGAAGGGGAAGTAGCATCTTTCTCCCTGCATCTTCCTTCCTTCTTCCAAGCAGATTACTTCTTTTTGTTTGATTTTGTGTTTGTGCGCCCCAGCAAGAGTGTGAAGAATAAATATTGGAAATAGGCTGTTCCCTTCTCGATCTTTTCTTTTTCAACTATCCTGTGTGCCTTTCTCATGCATGCTTCTCAGGGAGAACCTGCTTTTGTCTGTAGGAGCTTACCTCTTACTTCCTAAGCAGTGTGAGCAGACCAAGAGAGCAGAACAATGTAGCCTTCTGAGAAGCAGTGAAGAAGATGTATGCCTCCGGGGGCACTTTAGAAATGTGCTTACAAACAGAGTGGCCGTGGTGCTGTACCCACAGTAATTAGAAGATGCGTACAGTGAGACTGGCAAAGCATCCACTCAGCGCTGAATTTCAGTCAATTGTGTTTCCACTGAGAGCTTAGAATCAGCATTCGCAGTTTATTTGTGTTTGCTTTAAGGTGGCAAAACTACAGCAGTTTAAGGATTATTGAGTGACCAACTGTGGTCCCTAAAAGCAAGTGTTTTTCTAAGAAGTAGGGGTGCAGTGAAAGGGAAAAAAAATGCTGCTTATTGGAATATTGTTCATGGTTGGGTGACTGCAAGACAGCTGAATACAGGGATAGCTTTCTCCAAAGTACCTTTGTTTGGTCTGTAAATATGTATGGCATTTCTTTTAAGAAACATAACTTTTGGAAGAAGGTGTGTTGGCTTTTCGTCATAGCATTACTATGTTGTTCTGTGCATTAATGTATGTTCTGTTATTCAAGGAAAGATCATGTAAAAATGATGATTGACATTTAAAATCTGTGCTTCTGATCTGAGATTAATTTGAACCTTACTAGTTCATTTTGTTTCTATTAAGTTCATTCACAGTGTCAGTGGATCTTTTAGTTTCTTTTTTCCTCCTTTTCCAGACTTGGTGAACTTGGACTGTGTTGCTGGTGTTTGTAAACAGTGCTGCATAGGGAAATGTTACTATTTCTTAAGAGTATCCAGAGTTCTACAGTGTGAGTGTCATCCTTGGCTCTTGAAAGTGACATAAAGTAGCTGTACAGTCCTAGCCTAGTCCTGGCCATGGCAGGAGTCTTTTAGATAAGCATTGTGCAGAATATTGGTAAGACTGTCTTCTGAGATCTACCCCAAAGCCTTACCTGCAGCAAGTAGGAAGTGCTTGGTTAATGACAGAATTCTGTGCGTTCTGCTAATACTGCAATCACAAAGAGCAGTTTTCATAAGTGCTGTTACAGCACAGGCCACTCCTTAGAATAGCCACAGACTCGAGGGGATGTGATAGACAAGCTAATATTACTCCCTTTGTTCTAGAATTTCTTTGTTGTATGTTTTGGGTTAAAACCTAATTTTCCTTTCCTGTCGCTGCAGCAAGTAATTTCTGCCTCAGAGACTTTTTCCGTGGATCATGAGTTACCTTATCAGTCTGGACTGCCTTGACATCTTCTCAGAACTGAGCTCACTCTGGCATAAAGAGATAGTAATACTGCTATTAGAAAAAATTGGCTGCTGTGCTCAGATGAAAAGAACTCAGGCCTGTCAGAATAATGCACGTGTGTCATTCACAGTCACGGAAGATGTAATGCTCCAGTCTGTACATTACTACAAAATAAAAATTACAGGCATTTTAACATCTGTAAGACAACATGTAATTTGCATAGAGAGCAGAATTTGGTTAAAACACAGCTAATATTTTGATGGTATTCTTCCAGACCTCTGCAGTATCTTGTGCTCTTTGTGACTAATAAACAGGCATGTTTACAGTCTTTTCTGTAATGAATTTTGTTTCTAGTGTCCCCTCTTGTAAAGAAAACCTGGATTCACATTAGGCAGTGCTGCAGTTGCGCAGAATTGGTTTGTGTACCAATGAAGTCTTGCTCAAGACCTAGAAGATCGGGTCCTCCTAAACACGTAGAGATTTCCTAAATTGCTTTTTACTACCAATAACCTTAACTCAGAATCTTAGCTGGGCTTTGGGTGTTTGGTACTACAGAAATAACATCTGTGTCTTGTATTCTGCAGTTGCAAAACACGTGGGGAAATCTTTGAGAGTACTTACAGTCATGCAGTTAATATATGCATCTGTTAAATAATATGAAATGGAATAATACAGAGCATATATTAATGTATATACATATACTAATGTATATGTATGCTCTGGGAGAGTGGGGTCGGTATTGACAGTTTTTATTAGGTGTCTCTAAGCTTCTGAAAATATGAGTGTTGCTCCAAAAGTAATGCCTCCTATTTTATTATGTTGGCCCACGGTGTCAGAGGCAAATGGTGGTGGTGTGGCAGTACAGGTTGAACCTTTCTGCTAATATTTCATTACATTTTGTTCATGTGTGACAGATGGCAGCAAAGGAGCAGTCTGAAAAAAATAGCATCATACATGGAAGTGCATATGAAGCAAAGATGTGTCACTGCATTCCTCACATGGAGAAGATGGTGCCCACTGACATTCATTGACACTTGCTGAATGCTTATGGAGACCAGACATTGAACATGAGCCCAGTGCGGTGAAGGGTGGTGTGTTTCAGCAGTGGTGGTGACATGAAAGACGTCCTGGACGTCCATGCACAGCTGTCACACCACAAAATGAAGAGCATCTCAATTAGCTTATCTGCTTGAATCAGCAGGTTACCACCAGGGAGCTGTGTATGGGGCTGAGTATGAGCTGGTTGGAAATTATGATGGTAGTGTTGAAATACTGCAAGTTTGCATGAGGTGAGTCCTGTGAGTATTCACACAGGAACAGAGAGAACACTGTATGTAAATTTGTTAGTATCTGTTGAATCGATATAAGGCTAAAGGTGACAGTTTCCTGGAGCTCATCATTACTGGTGACGAGACGTGGTGTCACCTCTAGGAGCCAAAGTCAAAATGGCACTCTGTGGAGAGGTGGCGTGAATTCTCCGTCAAAGAAAATGTTCAAAACACAACCCTTATTGGATAAAGTTATGTGTGCTTTTAGGATAGGAAAGGATCTGGATTTCTTGGAACCCAGACAAAACATCTGATTGCTACATCATGCTGCTGACTGAGCTGAAGGATTGAACTTGCAGAGTCATGCCAGAGAAGAAGACAGCCTTTCCTTTGCAAAACAAAAAAATGCCAGGCCCTATGCCAGCTTGAAGACCGTGGAGCATGTTGCAAGTTTTGGCTGGACTGTCCTACCACACTGCCATACTGTCCAGTTTGATGCCTTCTGACTTCTATCTTTTGGGGCCAGTGAAACATCTTATGTTGTGGGTAACATTTTTGTAGCAATTATGCTATCATAGCAATGGTGGAAACAGTGGATCTCCTACACTGGTGCAAAGCACAGTGTGCAGGTTCTTGTTCATTAATGGTGAGAATGCATAGCTAAGGGTGGTGACTGTGTTGAAAAATAATGTTTTGTAGCTAAGAATTTGCTCTGTCGAATAGTATTATTGTGCTCTTTGTATCTGTTGTAGTTTCCATGGAAATAAGAAGGAGGCATTACTTACAGAGCAATCTACATAGAAGCATTAATGCTTTCCTTTGTGCATTTCAGTGGACTCAGTGCACTTCAGTGGGCCAGTTGTGGATTTCAGTGAACTCTCTCAGATGACAAAGTACAGAAATTTTTGAGGTGCTGTTATGCTGTCTGCCAATAACATTAACAGCAATTTCATATTAGGAAAGGCCAATTCCCCACATGAGATCTAGGTGAAGCTGAACTTGTGTAAGATGTGATGACATATGTATGAAAAGGACAATTATTTTGAATTTATGTGGTAGTCAGGTTGTTTTCAGTAATCTGTCCATTCTTGTGATACCTAATATATCTTCAGGTGTTTCTACTTCTGTGCTATGTGATTGTGTAGCATTTTAACAAACCTGATGCTCATTATTGGTACTTTTTCCTGACAAGTGTGTTTTGCAGTCTGTGTTGAGATTCCCAATGGGTCAGAGTGGAAAATTTGGGTCCAGTTGCAGTGCAGGCTTGGCAGCCTCAGCAGCAATAGGTCAGAGCAATTGATTGCAATTGCAGTTCCCTTCTGTTCTTTGACTCCCCAGAGGTGCAGAGGCCAGGTTCTCAGTGCTAGTTCTCTTATCAAAGTCTTATTGTGGCAGTGTGACACTCTTTTTCAGTCTCACTGTCTGTCTTTGAACTGTGCTGTGTTCTTTGGAAATGTGAGCTGGAAATGTACTTGGCTACAGAATCAAGCTTTCAAAGCTTCAGAATGCCGTACTTTGAGAATAAAATAATGTTATTAATCATTAAGTAAAGTGTATTAAAATAGTTCGTTTGATTTCAGTGAGTTGGTCATTTATTTTTCCTTCCCTTTCTTTCCATGGCAGAATCTGTCTGTGTTTACCTTCCATCTATTTCT